CCTGCCTCTTGGTGAGTGTCTAGGCTCAGCCTGAGCCGTCTCCTTGGCCTTTTTAGTGCACGCACTTTCCCAACAACCCCATTGCTTGCTCTCTCTCTCTCCCTCTCTCTCTCTCTTTCTTTCTTTTTTTTTCTTTTTGACAGCGTTTTGCTCCTGTTGCCCAGCCTGGAGTGCAATGGCACGATCTTGGCTCACTGCAACCTCCGCCTCCTGGGTTCAAGCAATTCTCCTGCCTCAGCATCCCAAGTAGCTGAGATTATAGGCATGTGCCACCACACCCAGCTAATTTAGTAGTTTTAGTAGAACGGGGTTTCACCATGCTGGCCAGGCTGGTCTTGAACTCCTGAACTCAGGTGATCCACCCACCTTGGCCTCCCAAAGTGCTGGGATTACAGGTGTGAGCCACCACACCTGGATTTTTTTTTTTTTTTTTTTTTTCTGAGATGGATTCTTGCCCTGTTGCCCAGGCTGGAGTACAGTGGTGTGATCTCAGCTCACTACAACCTCCTAGGGTCAAGCAATTCTCCTGTCTCAGCCTCCCGAGTAGCTGGGATTTTACAGGCACATGCCACCATGCCTGGCTAATTTTTGTATTTTTAGTAGAGACAGGGTTTCGCCATGTTGGCCAGGCTGGTCTCAAACCCCTGACCTCAGGTGATCCGCCCCCCTCGGCCTCCCAAAGTGCTGGGATTACAGACATGAGCCACCAGACCTGGCCCCAACAACCCCACTTCTCCTGGGGTCCCAGGCCAGCCCCACTCTCGACTGCTCACCCAGCCCCCTCACAGCCACCAGGACCTGCAGGCCCTGGTGTGGCCGGAGCCCTGCCATCCCTGAGCCAAGCCTCCATCCCTGCCCTACACAGCTCATCCTGCTGGGTGTTGAGTTTCATTCTCGGTCGCAGGAAACCTGCAAAAAAATATTTTCTTTGGCAGCTAGTATGAGGGTGGTAGCCCCAAACATCTCTCCCAGGCGAGTCCACGCCTGGAGTGGCCACTGCCCTCCACAGCTGCCCAGGAGACACAGTGGACAGGGACAGAATTCTGAACCCATCTGCCTTAAATAGGGTTCCTTCCCCACCCTGCCATCAAGGCCAGAGAGATCACTGCCTGAGGGATGGGACCCCACAGGAGCCTTCTGGCCAACACAACCTCTCCCAAGCTGATAGGCACCTGGCCGTCACAGCAAGGGGTGTGGCAGCCCCTCCAGAAGCCCAGCCCCTGACTTCCTTCTATTGCTGAAAGCTTCTGAGGGTAGAAGGGTCTCAAAGGAGGGCAGTCAAGGGCCCTGCCATGATTCTTTTCACAGGGACACTGCCCTCCCTTCAATTGAACATTGCTCTCCCATCTAGAGCAGCCCTGTCCTTCAGACTCCCAGGCCCTGACCACCCAGTTGGAGTCAGTGACCACAATTGGCTCCTGTTGGCTCAGTTGGGTCCTTACTTCCAAGAATGGGACCCTGGAGAAGAATGAATGAGGGCCAGGCGCGGTGGCTCACGCCTGTAATCCCAGCACTTTGGGAGGCCGAGGCGGGTGGATCACTAGGTCAAGAGATCGAGACCATCCTGGTCAACATGGTGAAACCCCGTCTTTACTAAAAATACAAAACATTAGCTGGGCATGGTGGCACGTGCCTGTAATCCCAGCTACTCAGGAGGCTGAGGCAAGAGAATTGCCTGAACCCAGGAGGCGGAGGTTGTGGTGAGCCGAGATTGCGCCATTGCACTCCAGCCTGGGTAACAAGAAGGAAACTCCGTCTCAAAAAAAAAAAAAAAAAAAAGAATGAATGAGATGGGTGTATCTGAACTAAAATGGTGGCAGAGTGGGTGAGAGCCGTCATGATGGGCCATGGAGATGCAGAGACAGCCGGTGGCGGCCGGGTGAGGTGGCTCACTCCCCTCTTCACAGCATCATGGGAGGCCACGGCGGGTGGATCACCTGAGGTCAGGAGTTCGACACCACCCTGACCAGCATGGTGAAACCCCCGCCTCTACTAAAAATACAAAAATTAACTGTGCGTGGTGGCGCACTTGTAATCCTAGCCGCTTGGGAGGCTGAGGCAGAAGAATCGCTTGAACCCAGAAGGCGGAAGTTGCAGTGAGCCGAGATTGCAGCCCGCTGCACTCCAGCCTGGGCGACAGAGCCGAACTCTGTTCTTTGTATCATTGAATGAAGCCCCTTTGAGCTGTGTCATCTGGAGGTCTATTCCTTGGAATCTAAAGATCCCGGCTGGGTATGGTGGCTCATGCCTGTAATCCCAGTACTTTGGGAGGCCCAGGTGGGCAGATCACTTGAGGTCAGGAGTTCAAGACCAGCCTGGGTAATACAGAGGGACCCTGCCTCCATAAAATGTGCAGTCCGGGCGCGGTGGCGCACACCTGTAATCTCAGCACTTTGGGAGGCCGAGGCGGGTGGATCACGAGGTCAAGAGATCAAGACCATCCTGGTCAACATGGTGAAACCCCGTCTCTACTAAAAATACAAAAAAAAAAATTAGCTGGGCATGGTGGCGCATGCCTGTAATCCCAGCTACTCAGGAGGCTGAGGCAGGAGAATTGCCTGAACCCAGGAGGCGGAGGTTGCGGTGAGCCGAGATCGTGCCATTGCACTCCAGCCTGAGTAACAAGAGCGAAACTCCATCTCAAAAAAAAAAAAAAAGTACTGGTCCCAGCTACTTGGAAGGCTGAGATGGGAGGATCTCTTGAGCCCTGGAGGTCAAGGCTTCAGTGAGCCAAGATGGCACCATTGCACTCCAGTCTGGGTGACAGAGTGAGACGCTGTTTCAAAACAAAACAAAAAACCCAAAGAACTGGACTGGGTCACACTAAAGCTACCTGTCCACAGGTGGGAGGAGTGGCCTCCACCTGCCTCCGGGTGAAAGGAGTGGCTTTCATCTGCTTCCTCTCCGCTCCCCCATTGGCTGAGAGGTCCCCCTTGCTACGGGTTCCCAAGGCCCTTGCTCTCTTAAGGAAAGTGCTTCCCAGGACATCTCCCCTAACCCTGGCGTCCATGGGATGGGTCCCAGCAAAGAGGCCTTTCAGATCAAGACCAAAAGTCACTGGTCCCGATGGGTCAGTGGATGCTAATGAGGGAGCTCAGGGGTGCCTGCTGCTGCTGGACAAAGGGGACAGGGCTCAGGGTCTGACGGCTTTGGGTTTGAATCCTGGCTCCAGCAACTTCCCAGCTGTGCGACCTGCTTTTGTTTCTTGGCTCCTTCCTATCCAGCATCACAAGGACTTGCCACGCGCTAGACGCTGTTCCGTGAGCTCCATCACACAGGTGCTAGCAGGATCCCATCTTCCAGGTAAGGAGAGGCTGGGCCGATAAAGCACGCATGCACAGGTCACGCAGTTAGCGGCAGGCGGCGAACTCCAGCTTCTCTGATTCTCAGACCCAAGTGGGCCGCTGCATGAAAGTGTCCTCCACACGGCATGGCGGGATGAGCAGCAGACCAGACCATGGCTGGGAAGCAGCATGTCGCAGGCATTCCACCATGACAGGTAACAATCACATTTCAAATGTCCCTTCACCCACCCAGAAACCTCCAGGCTCCTGAGAAATCACAAGCCTTGGCCGGTCATGGTGGCTAACGCCTGTAATCACAGCACTCTGGGAGGTTGAGGCAGGTGGATCATCTGAGGTCAGGGGTTTGAGACCAGCCTGGCTCACCTCTTCTAAAAATAGAAAAATTAGCTGGGTGTGGTGGCGCGTGCCTCTAATCCCAGCTACTCGGGAGGCTGAGGCCGGAGAATTGCTTGAACCTGGGAGGTGGAGGTTGTGGTGAGCTGAGATCACACCATTGCACTCCAGCCTGGGCCACAAGAGTGGAGCTCCGTCTAAAAATTAATTAATTAATTAATTTTTAAAAATTGCAAGCCTTTACCTATAGCAAATGCCTCAGGCAGAGCCCCGCGAGAATCCAACAAAGGATTTAGGAAGGAGAAATAAACCATATTGGTTGGCCGGCTATCAAATTAAGATCTTCAAGCCCAAAGGCATCCCCAGGGCACAATTCAAGGACCGGTGACAAGTTGTGTATTTTCCCGGAGGGTGAAGATTCCGAGGCAAGGCTGCTGGGAAGCTGGTTTTGCCCTTAGGAGAAATGTCTTGTGCAAAGATGAGCCTTGCGGAATCAAGCTGACACGTTTCTCTAGCCAGAAGAGAAGGTAATCCTTCATTTAAAAATAAGAAATAAGAAATAAAATTGTAAAAGCAACAAAAAAGTTCTTCCAGTATTTGCCTGTGAACTACAACATCTGGGATTTGCTTCAAAAGAATCCACCTGGGCGGATGCTGATGAAACAGACCTGGATGAGTTGACCATTTCCCAGCGTGGGCATTGGGCCGGGGGCAGCCTGGCACTGGCCTCTCTCCTTGCAATTCTGAAATTTTTCATGTTTTTTTTTTTTTTTTTTTTTTGAGACAGAGTCTCACCCTGTTGCTCAGGCTGGAGCGCAGTGGTGCGATCTCAACTCACTGCAACCTCCACCTCCAGGGTTCAAGTGATCCTCCTGCCTCAGCCTCCCAAGTAGCTGGGATTACAGGCGTGAACCACCTTCAGGGCCATAAGTGTTTTGCTTTTTTGTTTTTGTTTTAAGTAGCAAGTAGGAATATGGCCAAGCATCCTGCCACAGACTCTAAGGGGCAGAGTCAGTGAGCAGGAACAAGTAAGAAACACTGGAGCCCCTCCCCCCCCCCCCCCCCCTACCCCCGCCCCCCCCCCCCCCTCCCCCTCCCCCTTCTCTCCCCCTTCCTACTGCTCTCCCTCCCTACCTCTCTCCCTCTCCTCCCTTCCTCCCCTCTCCACCCCTCTCCCTCCCCTCCCCCTCCCTGTTGACGTCCATGTTACCCAAGAACCCTCGGCTCTGAGTAATAAGCTTGTCTCTCAGTGAGAACATGTGTTTTCAATCATCTGGCACAGCAGTGAGTCACTACCAACAGCTGCTGCTGTCTCCATCTCCCTGGACTCACCTTCGGCCCCCTCCCCTACCCCTGTGCCACCAGCCCAGGCCCTGCCCCCACGCAGCTCTGGTTCAGCCAGCCTGACCCCCTGGAGGCCTGGGTGTCCTCCGGCCTTTGGGCCTCCCAGAGCCGCTCGCTCCCTGGTCTGAAGCAGAGCCTGCCTCCTCCTTCCCCGTGGATCACCCGACTCAACTTCTGGGTCCCACTAGAGACATCCCAGACAGCCCCCCAGACCACACCAACCTTGCTGGCACCCACCCATTGCCCTGGGTCACACTGGCCATGGCACCCAGCACACTCTTTGCAATGGGCTCTGTCTCTTTCATATTGATGGTTTTCGCTGCAGGAAAAAGGGGGCCACCTCCCATCCATTTCCCCAGCTCCTGCGCAGCCCATGGCTGGTGCCCAGAAATACCTGTTGAATGAATTTGACATGAGGCCGTAGCCTTAAGAGGTTATAGTCAGTGGGGGGAGGTGAGAACAAGAAATCTCTGAGATACAATACAGGGAGTCCAGAGGGACTCAGGGTGACGAGCCACAGAAAGGCTGTGTCTATCTCTGCCCCTGGCTAGGGTGACTGTATCTCTGCGCCAGGCCCCTCCCCGAGGCTGCAGCACTTCGCCCTACTCTGGGCTGGCTGTTGCCTGGTGAGCAAGGGTTCAAGGCCAGGCCTGTCTCAATGAGGAGGGATGGCTGAATGCGGGGCGGGCAGTGTCTGATGGGGCCAGGAGTGACTGCAGGCTCTCAGCGACGAGGCCACATCCAGGGCATTCTGCTGCCTCCTCCAGCGGGTCAGAACCACAATCCCCCAGGACAGGGAGGGCTGACAGGGACCCAAGCACACTCTATCCCTGCAGGGAGCCCAGCCTCGTGCAGCTGCGGGGGTTCACCACCTGCCCAGACCTCAGAGCCTTCCTCACGGGCATCCACGGCAGGACGGCTCTGTGGCTGGGTGGCGCCTTCGAGGGGACGTGAGCAGGGGACAGTGAACGCAGGGGACACTGAAGGGTGACCAGCCATCGCCTTGTTCCTGGGCCGGAGAGCACCAGGACAGAGCCAGGGTGGCCAGGTCACACAGGAGGAAAGGCAGAGTGTGCAGGGTGGCAGGGCTGTCGCAGGTGTCCACGGAGCCCGGGGGCCTACTCGGGGCTGAGGGAAGGGTGGCCGTGCCAAAAAATGAATTAACGAGTCAGCCCCAAATCTCAAGAAAACAGCTGGGAATGGCGGGAAGGACCTGAATCACTTTCCAAGAAGCTCGGCTCCTTCTCACCTTTCCCGTCGCCGCTGCCTCTGGTCTGGGTGTGGTGACCACAGCCACCCAAGCCTGCTCTCCTGCTGTCTGGCACTTCAGCTCAAGATTGAATGACAGCCTTCAGGAACTCTGCCCCTCACCCCAACCCATCCTCCCCGGGGGGAAGTCCAGGAACGCAGACCTGTCCCACGCTTCCCGAAGCTGGTTCCAAGGACACGAGGCTGGGTTTGAGACTGGAAGTGACGAGAGTCTGGCTCGGGCCTTACGCTGCTGCTGGCTGCAGGCTCCCTGTCACGGAGAACCTGAAGCATCCTCAGAGAACAGAGGAAGGACCAGAGGGGAGCGAAGGGAGGAAGGGCAGGCAGGACCGGAACAGAGGGAGAAAACCAGGCCTGGGGAGAGGGAAGGAGAGAGGGGACTTTCTTGGGCACAGACCTAATCATAGCCTTGAAATGAAATTTACTGCTGCACTCAGCGTGGGACGGCTGCCAGCTCCACCAAGCCAGTCTCCCTTCTGTTTGTACGAGGTGATGACATCATGGTGGTGGGGCGTCACTCACACGGAGGAGGAGGAAGCCCAGCTGGCGGGAAACCTGAGCCACCCCTGGCCAGGCTTCCAGGCAAGTCGGACCCAAAACCATGCCAGTCAGCCTCCACAAATCCCTGCTGAGCCGGGCAGCCGGCTCCTGCACTGTCCACCCCTCCCTGGTGGCCAGCCCCAGTCCCCAGAACGCCAGCTGAGGCTGCTTCCTGGGGAGAGCCAGCGGTGGAGAAGCCCTAGAGACCGCTCTGCTCACTGGCCCTGGTCCCCAACCCGCCCATGAAAGGAAGCACATGACCGCGTGCCCGGGGCCCAAAGGAAATAGCCCGGGCATGAGGAAACACGAGCACCAGGCCTGGAGCATCCAATCCCGGCATCTCGTGGGGATTCCTCGTTGTCCTCATGGGAACCAGGCGACAGGAGGGTCCAGGAGAGCCGGCGTCGCAGGTGTGGGGACAGACAGGTGGGGAGAGACAGCAGAGCTCAGCGGCATCAACTCTCGGGTGTCCCAGCTGCAGGAGCCCTTTGAAGGAGGGCTCAGGGGCCTGCCCAAACTGCCCTTGTTGTTTAGGAGGTGCTTCTGAGTTAAAGAAGAGGCAAAACCTGGCCACAGGAAGGAGAGGCACTGCCATTCCAGCCCACGTGAAGCAAAGTCTGCAAAGGCTGCCTGGCTCTGGGGTTAACCACTGCTGTATCAGGGCGGCCTCCCTGGAAGAAGGGTTCATGTGCCTTCAATCTGAGTCACCTGCTCCACGTGGTTTAGCTGCAGCAGAACAGCTGAACAACCTTGGCTCTATAGGCTCTTTCTCTTTTTTTTTTTTTTTTTTTTTTTTTTTAAAGACGGATTTTCACCATGTTGGTCAGGCTGGTCTTGAACTCCCGACCTCAGGTGATCCACCCGCCTTGGCCTCCAAAGTGCTTGGATTACAAGCATGAGCCACCGTGCCCGGCCTATGGGCTCTCTCTATGGAGTCAATGATGTCATGGACTTCTTGCTCACCACGAGGACAGCCTCTCTGCCTCTCCTCTTCTGGAGTCACGGGAGACGTGACCATGGCAACAGGGCTGGCTCTGGGGCTGCTGCCGGGGGCTGTGAAGGTTGTGCCCTGCACAAGGGGTGTGCAGAGGCTGGACTCCAAGCAGGTTTTCTAAAGGGAGGTGCCCTGCCTGGCTCATGGCTGCTTTTGCCCTGTGGGGCGCCTGTCTGCGGAGGGGAGGCAGGTTGGGGTGATAGGAGATGGAGGTGATGGAGACAGGCCGAAGTCCCACTTTCCCAAAGATGGCCTATAGGATGGTATGGAATATACCAACGGACTCTGCAAAACAAAGCCCAAAGGGAGGGCCGGGTGCAGAGGCTCGTGCCTGTAAGCACTCTGGGAGGCTGAGGCAGGCGGATCACAAGGTCAGGAGTTCAAGACCAGCCTGGCCAAGATGGCAAAACCCTGTCTCTACTAAAAATATAAAAAATTAGCTGGGCATGGTGGCGCATGCCTGTGATCCCAGCTACTCAGGAGGCTGAGGCAGGAGAATTGCTTGAACCTGGGAGGGGAGGTTGCAGTGAGCCCAGGTCACACCACTGAACTCCAGCCTGAGCAATAAACAAAAACCCATAGGGAGGCATGAACCAAGAGTGGCTGGAAGGTGGAGCAGGATCTTTAAAAAGTGAACCCTGATGCCTGTGGCCATGAAGCCTTTAACAGCGTTAAACAGAAAGTGTGGGAAACATCTGTACCCCCCCACCCCGGGCTGCCCGCCTCAGGGCTGAACGTTATACCACCTGTTGCACACGGAGCAGGACAGAAGACACCCACCTACCTGGGTCCCCACTGCCCAGGCGTACCCACCAACCCTTCAGTGAACACCTTTGTATGCCTCTTTATTTTTTTCTTTTTTTGAGACGGGGTCTCACTCTATCACCCAGGCGCGATCTCAGCTCACTGTAACCTCCATGTCCCGGGTTCAAGCAACCAGGGTGATCCTCCTGCCTCAGCCTCCCAAGTAGCTGGAACTGCAGGCATGTGCTGCCACCACACCCAGCTAATTGTTGTATTTTTTGTAGAGGCAGGGTTGCGCCATGTTGCCCTGGCTGGTCTCAAACTCCTGGGCTCAGGCAATCCTCCTGCCGTGGCTTCCCAAAGTGCCAGGATGACAGGTGTGAGCCCCGCGCCCGGCCTGGATACTTGTTTCTAGACCCACATGTTTGACCTCACATAAATGAAATATTATACATGCTGTTTCATTATGGAAACTTTTTTTTTTTTAAAGAGTCAGTCTCAGTCTCTTGCTCTGTTGCCCAGGCTGGAGCGCAGTGACCCAATCATAGCTCACTGAAGCCTTGAACTCCTGGGCTCAGGTGCTCCTCCTGCCTCAGCCTCCCAAATAGCTGAGACTACAGGCATGTGCCACCATGCCCAGCTAACTTCTTTCTTTTCTTTTCCTTTCTGTCTCTTTCTTTTGTTCTTTTTCTTTCTTCCTTTCTTTCCTTCCCTCCTTCCTCTCTCCCTACCTCCCTTCCTCCCTTTTCTTTCATTTTTGCCCTTTCTCTCTTTTGGACAGACTCTCACTCTGTTGCCCGCAGTGCAGAGGCTCTATCTCAGTTCACTGCAAACTCTGCCTCCTGGGTTCAAATGATTCTCATGACTCAGGCTCCCGGGTAGCTGGGACTACAGACATGCCACCACGCCCAGCAAATTTTTTCTGTTTTTAGTAGAGACAGGATTGCGCCATGTTGGCCAGGCTGCTCTGGAACTCCTGGCCTCAAGTGATTCACCTGCCTTGACCTCCCAAAGTGCAGGGATTACAGGCATCAGCCACTGTACCTGGCCTTGCCCACTGATGGAGTTTCGCTCTCGTTGCCCAGGCTGGAGTGCAATGGCGTGATCTCGGCTCACTGCAACCTCTGCCTCCTGGGTTCAAGCGATTCTCCTGCCTCAACCTCCCACATAGCTGGATTATAGGCATGTGGCTCCATGCCCAGCTAATTTTATACTTTTAGTAGAGACAGGGTTTTGCCATGTTGGTCCAGCTGGTCCAAACTCCTGACCTCAGGTGATTCGCCCTCCCCGGCCTCCCAAAGTGCTGGGATTACAGGCATGAGCCACCACACCCAGCCCTAATTTCTTTAACTGTTTATCGAGGTGGGGGTCTCGCTGTGTTGCCCAGGCTGGTCTCAACTTCCTGGCTTCACACCATCCTCCTGCCTCAGCCTCCCAAAGTGCTGACATGATAGGCGTGAGACAGTGTCCACAGCAGGGACACTTAAAAAAATTTTTTTTGGCCAGGCGCAGTGGCTCACGCCTACAATTACAGCACTGTGTGGGGCCAAGGTGGGCAGATCATTTGAGGTAGGAGTTCAAGACCAGCCTGACCAATATGGTGAAACCCCATCTCCACTAAAAACACAAAAATTAGCCAGGCGTGGTGGCAGGTGCTTATAATCCCAGCTACTTGGGAGGCTGAGGCAGGAGAATAGCTTGAACCTGAGGGAGCAGGGAGGTTGCAGTGAGCTGAGATAGCACCACTGTACTCCAGCTTGGACGACAGAGAGACTCCATCTTTAAAAAAAACGTTTTCCTATGCTGTGCCTGGGCCCTCTCCTCTGTCAGTGCCGGGAGCGTGGTGCGTGCCTTGGCCTCCAGGTTGCAGGTACATTCACTCTTCCACCTGCATTCTTGTTTGTCCTACAAAATAGAACTCTTTGTTCCTATGTCTCTGCATCTTGCTTCGCTCAGGACCAGACTTTTCTGAGTTTAAGTTAGCGGTTCTCAGCCAGGGCTGTTTTGCAGTGTCTTGAGACATTTTTGGTTGTCATAATTGGAGAGGGTGAGGGTGGCATCCAGTGGGTCCAGGCTAGGGGTGCTGCTGAACACCCTACAGTGCCCAGGAGAGCCCCCCCGCAAACAGGGATCTGGCCCAAATGTCAACTGTGCGAAGGCTGAGAAGCCCGGCCCCTAATGAGGAAGATTAATAATGAAATCCACCGTCATCTTCAGGACTTCCTATGCCGAACAGCCCCACCGGTGGACGCTGGGAAGGGACACCAGGGCTGGGTGCCTATTGTGACCAAGAGTCTGAGGCCTGGCTGGATGGGGAGGCACAGATGGGCTGCCTGCTCCTCTCTGAGAGCCACATGTCACCTGACTACAGAAACCTCCCAGCCAGCCAGCCTCAGACCCGCTCCCCACATTCCCCTACAGCTGCCAGCTCCCTGCTAACAGAGACTGCCTGGGACGTGGTGTTCTCCTGGCTGCCGGAGCTCTGGCCGTCGGCAGGGGTCAGTTTCCCGGGGCGTGTGGGGCCAGCATCCATGCCCTCTCCTGATGAGAACATCTGGCTCTCCAGACCTGCTGGAAAGAGCATGGGGGCTTCGGGTCCACTCAAGCTGTCTCCAGAAAGTGAACACGACCTGCTCAGGGGCAGATGGCTCTCCTCCAGCCTGGGAGGGCGAGGCCTTGGAGAAGAGCAGGCGTCCTCCTGCCAACCCGGCAGGAGATGACCTGAGACGGGAGCAACAGGGAGGAGGCCTTGGCACTTCCTCTGGCCCCAAATAGCATTCACTAGGTCCAGCCTGGGATGTGTTTGCCGGCCGTGTTTGGGCGTGGGTGCACACATGCCTGACGTCTCTGCTGTGCTCTGCCGGGAAGGTCTCTTCAAGGGGGTGGGGGAGCAAGGCGATGTTCCTGGTGGGAAGTGGTAGCCCCTGGGGTGTGGTCTGAGGGGCCCTTAAAACCACCCCCCACCCCACCCCCTGTACTCCACAGGCCTCCCTCATGCTTTGTCTGTCCTAAGAGGCTGAAAGCCTTTTCTCTGAAGCTGCTCCAAGCCAAGGTCCCCCAGGCTGCAGCTGGGCTGGGTGTACCTTATGGTCCGCCTGTTAGCCTACCCACCAATATCAAGATGAGAGGTGAAGGCGGCTGGTGAGGACTGAAGCATGGGCCGGGCGTGGTGGCTCACGCCTGTGTTCCCAGCACTGTGGGAGGCCGAGGCGGGTGGATCACCTGAGCTCAGGAGTTTGAGACCAGCATGGACAACATGGTGAAACCCCGTCTCTACTAAAAATACAAAGATTAGCCTGGTGTGATGGTGGGCACCTATAATTCCAGCTACTCAGGAAGCTGAGGCAGGAGAATTGCTTGGGCCCGGGAGGCAGAGGTTGCAGTGAGCCGAGATCATGCCACTGCACTCCAGCCCGGGTGACAGAGTAAGAGTCTGTCTCAAAAAAAGAAAAAAAGGAGTGAAGCAGTGGGGGTAGCTCCCAGCCTAGGGTCTGCCT